TTAGGGTTTATTTCTGGACTCTCAATTTTGTTTCATGGATCTATATGTCTATCCTTGTACCATCTTGTTGTTTCTTGATTTTATAAAGACCCATCTATCTTAAGGGCATTTAAAATCAGTCTTTAGGGGCTGGCACAGTTTTCCCATTTTTCTTTTTGTCTGTTACATGATCTTTTATCTTATTCATATTTCTGCTAAAATGTCATTTGAGCATTTGAAATATCATTTCTTGGCTATTCTCCCTAAAATAGCTCCACACTCCTGTTCTATCACTCTCTACTACCTTTCCTGCTTTATTTTTTCCACAGCTTATCTCACAATCTGAAATTATTTATTGTTTACATGTTTAATATGTCTTCCCCACTAGAATGCAAGTTCCATGAGGGCAAGGATATTTATTCTGTCTGACAAGGTGCCTGGCACTTAGTAGGAAATCAGTAAATATTTGTGGAATAAAGGCATGAATCATGATTCCTACAACAATTTTCATTTCAAAGCTATAATGGTTTTTCCAAGCAGTTAATTATGTAATTGGAGCATGCCATTGAACAACTGGCATATCTTCTAATAGCTCATCACATTATATACTTTTGACAATGCATATATGAAAGTATCTTTTGTCATATATGCACATATTTATTCAAACAAAAGTTAATTGAGTGCTAACTATGTGCCAGCCATTGTCCTAGAAAGTCAATGAAAAGATAACATAATAGATATGATTAATGGAGGTGATTCAAGTATCCCACTTGCATAAAAATCCATGTGGATGTAGATGCCTCTTCACTAATACTCTCTGATAATACTCTTAGGAGTCAGGCCTAGAAATGGCCTCGAAGTTTAATGTTCTTGATTACAAGGTTCCTTCTTGGTGTTTCAATAATTAACAACCCTCCAATAGATCAAAACCTCATCTTGAATTTCCATCAGTACAGAAGTTTTGAGGTTCTGCTTATTTCACTTCCCAAAAAGATTTTCAAACAACTATATATTTTGGGTTTTTTTTAAGTAAAAGATAAGAAAAGTCAATTCTTTTATAACAAATAAGCAGGTTTCCCCTTGATTTTTTACCAAGTAGGCCTCTTGATTATAAGAGACTCAAGCTAATAAGACATAAGCAAAAAAAAGGGTTTTAATTCATATACAGTTAGCTGAAACTCCAGGATGGGCAAGCTTCAGATGAGGCTTAAAGTGGGCTCATGACCTGTCTGTGGGTTGGTTCCTATCTCAAAAAGGCTTTCCCATCATGGTAAAAAAATAGGTCAGAAACTCCAGACCCTCTCAGATTTAAAACTAGCAAGAGAGAGCAAGATTCTCTTTCCTGGAAATCCTAGTAGGCATCTCATTACTCCTTTTTGATTGGATTACCTGCCCATCCTGTAAACAATCATATTTCTAGAGGATACAGTGCTTTGTTTTAGGCCTAGATAACATGATTCATCCAAAGCATACAGGCTGAGAATAAAGAAGTGGGTGATTATTCAAAGAGAAATTAAGGTTAGAGCTCCAGTATTAGGATGAATGGATCTTAGACAGCAAAAGCAAAGGTATCCATTAAAAGTTTTATACATACTGCTAGGAAAGAGAATGGTAATTAGAACATATCATAGTAAATCAGTTCATTACAGCATCACCGAATATTTTTCTGGAATGCAGTTCCCTAATCCTGAATTATACCTCCCAACACACACACACACACACACACACACACACGTGTGTGTTATTTGTATGTGCACATGTACACACAAGTGCTACCATTTCCTTTGTTCTTGCCACTAGGTTGTAGAGCATTGCAAGACCAAATCAGATAACTACCTTTAAGAGATTATAGATTACGACCTTCACAGGGCCTCACTGTTACATAACAATCCATTTTATCACAGCCTCTCTAAAATAAGACCCAGTATTTTAATTTGAGCAAGATTAACACAGACCAGAAGCATGAAGTCAAGTCAAATGATGGGAGCAGATTCTCAAAGAAGCAAATACACCCTTGACTTCCAGCCTGTTATTTATATTTTCAGCCAGAAATTTCATTCATTGAAATCAGTATCTTAATAGAAAGTTGAAATGCTGATTTTCATTAAATAAGCTATTTATTAGCCTCTTAGTTCTGACCTTTGGCTAGAACACTGCATTTCCTCTTTGCTACTCCTCTTTAGTTTCTGACTGCTTCTTGGCTGTGAGCTATTCTCTCCTCTTACATTTTTATGGCCCCGTTACCAGGCAGGTGGAACTCCTTGTATGTGAGATGAATACTCTCTCTGACATGCTTTATGGGACCCAACAGTCACAACACAACCTATTAGCCATACCATAGCATGCCCAACGGCAGTCTAGCTTCAGATCAGAATTTATGGTTGTTTGTCACATTTATAAAACCACAGTGTCATCTTTATTATTTCTATTATTAAAAAATGTATTGAGGCAGTTCTTCACATACTTGGCACATATGAAATTTGCTTCCCTTAGATTTTTAGTGCTTTCCAGATTGACAATAATATAAAATAGATATAGCCAGTGCCTTGAAAGAGAACCACTAGAAAGTACTCTCAGCAATTTACTTTGTAAATAAAATCTGTTGCATATGTTTCCGTTCAGGTTTTATAGTGGCCTGGGGAAAACCAGAAGTGTATATACCTTCCACATATTTCATTGTGCAATATAAAATTTTCACATTAGAAAGATATAACCCAAATTTCAAATAATTTAGTTGGAAATATGCAGATATATGGGGAAGCACAAAGGTAAAATGTTTAAATCATATTAGTTCCTTTCTTACTATTTTCTAATTAACCACTGATAACAAAAAAGGATTACAAGGTAAACTGGTGTATTGAATAAAGCTAAAATATAGCTACATCAAGCTATTTTACATTCATATCCACAGATGGTGAGCCATATAAATACAAAACTATTATAAACTGTAGTTGCTATTACCCTATGATAACAGTTTTAACAAACATAGCTCAATTAGAGGAAAAGTTATAATTAAACATATCTTTAAAATAAAAATATGGGAAAGTACTTATGGTAATTGCAGTTACCTATAATTTAGAAACTATTCATTAGAGACTCTACCATAAAAATCACATTAGTGGATACTGTTTTGCCCCTGTGTTGCAAGTGAACTATGTAATAGTTAAACATTATATTTATTATTATGAAATATGATAGTAAATTAAGGATAGTCTCATTAAACAGCCAAACCTAATTAATCCAGTTCCCAGCAACTCTTAATATATGCTAATTAAGCCAGGAACAGTACTCAAATTTGCCTTGAACTATCTAAGAGGTAGGGATTAAAGGTATCTTGAAAATAAAAATATAGAAAGCATTTGGGCATTTACATTTGTCCACAAGCAAATTAATAGGCTAACTAAGCAAGATTGCTGGGGGAACATTACACTACTTAAGAAAGCAAACATTTCCAATCACCTTTAAGAACTTTCCCAGTATATATTTATATAAATACAAAATATATGTTAATTTCTTTAGTTTTTTTTTCTTAACTTTATTAATCTTTGGCCTGCTAAACTCTGGTAACACTTGGTTCACCTAGTTCCAGTATTTGTTCTGTTCTTAAAAGTGATAAAAGCCTTTCTTTCTTTCTTTCTTTCTTTTTCTCTTTCTTTCTTTCTTTCTTTCTTTCTTTCTTTCTTTCACTCTCTCTCTCCTTCCTTCCTTCCATCCTTCTTTTCTGTAACCAAGTATATGCTCCCTCTGGGGTCCCAAGTCTTTCAATCATCTCGGGTCACCCCATCCCACTTTACATGGAAAACTAGCATTTTCACCATGGTCCTCATACATATCCCAGCTCAGGATCATCAAGAATTCCTGGGTTTGGGGGCGCCAGGGTAGCTCAGTTGGTTAAGCGTCGCCTTCAGCTCAGATCATGATCCCAGGGTCCTGGGATCGAGTCCTGTATTGGGCTCCCTGCTCAGTGGGGAGACTGCTTCTCCCTCTGCCTGCCGCTCCCCCTGCTTGTGCTCTCTCTCTCTGACAAATAAAATCTTAAAAAAAAAAAAGAATTCCTGGGTTTGTTATCGCCTCTCTAGGTCTTTCCTGCCAATGATTCCCCTTCTGCTGAATTCTTGATCTACATTGTGCATTCACTCTTATAATAGCTTCATCTTTACTACAGCCTGAGCGTGACGTGGATCTACTCCTGGTGCCATCATTTCCCCCCTAGGTCTCAAAGCACAAGCGCTTGTGTTTAACAGACTTTCATTGATGGTTTAGGGTTTGGGGAGATAATACAGGACAGAATACTAGAATATTAGCCCTCATGGTCCTAAATATTTATCAACTATTCCTTATCACAGTTTCTCCATATTCTTGACCTCTTTGTGTTTTCAGTGTTCTCCTCTGTCTTCCAAGGCTTCTAACTGCCTCTCCGGGAGCTGGTGCCAAACCCAAAATGTCTATTACTGAGTATTTTCATTCTCCCTCTGTTCCACCCTCACTCGAGCTCTGGTCAAAAGTTCTCCCCTTTCTCAAAATAAAAACCCTGCTATTTCTAAACAATATAATCATCTACCAAGGAGATAGATGGATTGTACTACTCTCCTAGAAAGCAGTAGCAACTTATTTAAATGCCATATTTTCCCTTGCTGTACATTTGCAAACTTTCTTTCACTTATTCACACAGTCTCTTCTAATTGGTCATAATATATGTGCATGTAACTGAAACAATGCACAATTTTGTTATTGTTATAAGTATAGCTTTTGATTTTTTAAAACTGCTAATCAAAGTGCATTTCTACACATGATAATGAATAAATACTTACTAATATCTTCTTGCCCAGGTAATTTCAAGCTAGTTTCAATCGTAACTTATGCCTATAGAAGCACTAAGTATTTTGTCTTTTGTGTACTAATATAGGCTAACCCTGAGAACTTAAGTGAAATGTGAATCTTTTCTACTGTGAGGCAGTTAAATTGAAGATATTTAGCTTTGATATATAACTGATCACTTTTTTATATCTTTTTTTACGTAGTTTTGTGTGAGAATAGAAAAGAATCCTGGCCTTGGATTTAGTATCAGTGGAGGAATTAGCGGACAAGGAAATCCATTTAAACCTTCTGACAAGGTAAGAAGTGAACTTCTTATTTATTGGCAGTTTTAATTAGAAAATCACTGTCTGTCACTGCAGAAAAAAAAGGTCAGAAAAAAAATCTACTGGGCTTTAATAAACTAGCTAATTATGAAGCCAATTAAGCACATTTTCAGCATAGGGGAAAAAAATTCACTGCAGTTCTTGACAAATCCTAAGAGTAGGAAAAAAAATTAAGGAAAATTGGGTTTTGCTTTTTGTTTTGTTAACAATTGTATATATTTTTAAAGAAAACTATACACACAATTTATAACAAGTTGTTTCTAAAAGTTTACCTGTAGATCAATTATCTGGGAAAATGTTTCCTCGTAGTAACAGAATGATTAAATAATGCTTCATTGCCAGGGCCAACTGACTGAAATGTTGTTAAGTAATCATGTTGATAAAGTATTTCACTAATAGAAGTATAGAACTGAAAGACCACAGAAAACAAACATTCTATGGGAAAATCAAAGTTAGCCATGGCAGAAAAATCAGGGGCTCCTCTCATGCTTACCTCTTTGTCAAACCATGGGTAAAATTTCACCCCCACCTCCATGCTGAACACCCAACATGCTGTCCATCCATACTCCCATCGGGCCTGTATGATCCCATTGTGGACTTGGACCACCTGACTTTTTTATTTTAAAAATGTTACCCTGAGTTACATAACCTACCCTGCTACCATCAGTGTTTAATGCCCTCAGCTTTGAATCAATTATTTTTTTTAAAGATTTTATTCATTTATTTGACAGAGAGAGACATAGCAAGAGAGGGAACACAAGCAGGGGGAGTAGGAGAGAGAGAAGCAGGCTTCCCTGCAGAGCAGGGAGCCCAATGCGGGGCTCGATTCCAGGACCCTGGGACCGTGACCCGAGCTGAAGGCAGATGCTTAACGACTGAGCCACCCAGGCACCCCTGAATCAATTATTAATTATAATTTGATGATAATTAAAACTATCTGCTTTTGACCTCATCACATTTAATTGCATTAAGTGACATCACAAAACTTTGGGATGATGAAAAAAGACAGAAATTAGATATGAGTAAAACCTCCACAAGGCTCTCCATTTACCTTTGAGTCACAACCTGAGACAGATTCTTTCACCTCATCACTATTATAGATCATAAAACCGCTTCTGAAAAAACCTGGGTGTCCCTGCTCTGGAGATTTCTATAGCCTGAAACAGAGCCTGTAATCCCCTATTTTCCTCTACTTCTTCCCAATCTTCTTGTTTTCCAACATTCTTTATGCCCTTCTTCCTTTCCTTTCTCGAAAAGAAGAGAGGAAGAGGTTGGACTATAAGGTAGAATTATTCACACTATACACATTAAGATGGTAGGGACAAGAAAGTAATCCCCAGCAGCTATAGATGGGAATACCTCTGGTCAACCGGTTGGAATGTACGTGAGGCAGCCCTATAGAATTCGGGGAATGCCAGTTAGCAATGTCTGTTCATAAGTAACTACTGCCTTTCTATTTTGAAATGATGTTGAGGATAACTACTGATCTAGTAGAATTAAAATATTAATGGTTTAGTAGGATCAAGCATTTACTTAATTTTATCAAATTATAAATATATTTTAAGACAAAAAGTATGAAAGTTCAAAATTATCAGAAACATATGATGGTATTTTTAAAAACCTCAATCATTATGCCTTATTCATCTTGACTCTTCTCTTTGTTTCTGGTTTCACATCTTCTCCACAAGTTCTTTCAATGAGAAGTTAATCACCGTATCATTCTTCAGATAGTTAAAATCCAAAAGACATGTTTTTCTCTCCTTTCTCACCAGCTTAGACACCTTTTCATTATATTTTTGGAAGGCACAGGGTAATAAATGTTTTAAACTAAGGATGAACAGATTGCTAAATAGTCAAGAGGTCTGAATGCTATTGCTTTTCTGCTGTTATTTTCAACTAAAGGAGAGAATAAATGAGAGACTTTAAAATTATTGCCTGTAATTCTTCGACTATGACAAATAAGAACATTTTATAATTATTAATTTAATTTCTCATTTGTAACATTTTGATGACTCTAGTGAGACTGAACTATTTCTATGATACTATAATTTGCTCTTTTGGTTAAATGCAACAGATATAAAGCTTGAATTGATAATGTGTCCACTGAAAGATTTCCCCTCAAAAGCACTTTTCTTCACCTGATTACTCTCTAAAACACTTCACAATCTGAAAAGTGAATCTCTATTATTGCAAAATTGATGAGAGTAATTAGAAGTTCCAAATCTGCAGAAAACTTTCAAGACTGCTCTTAATTTATTGACTACTTTTGATGTCACACCAAACATATGGTGGATATTTAGTTAAAAGTGTACAGAGGATCTAAAGACATTGGGTCTGACAATTACAAGAACTTAATTCACTCACAAGGAAAGGGATTAATCTCTTGGAAATTCAGTTGCATTTCTTTAGCCCCATGTCCCATTCTTGTAGTGGTTGCATAAAATTTAGAGTAGAACCCAGTGCCTAAACTAACCAAAAAGGCCAAACAGTAAGAAAATAAAAATGAACTTAAAAAATACTCTTCTCTCCAATGCTGAAAAAGAGACTGTTTTTTTTTTTTTTATGAGTTGGCTAATTTATAGCTGAGGGTGAGGAGAACCAAATTAAACAGATATTTAAATTCAACAGATACTGCCTGAGTCAGAGGTAGATTCTTTATAAGGAATCCTAGTCAGGCAAAAGCTTAAACTTTAATATGATACATATTCTCTTCCAATAAACAACTCATGGATTAGAAATATTCTCAGAAGCACACTATATTATTTTACTTACTGCTCATGAATGTTTGAATGCTTTGTAAAATTCTAAGTATCCAAGATAACTGAATGTCTTCGAGGCATTGAGGACCTTATATATAAAGTAGCCAGTAGATTTATTCCATCCTCTTCATTGTGATTGATGGGAGCCACTGTTTCAGCCAAATGCCAAGGACTATTGTGAGATAGGATCCAAACTGATTACTTGCTATATAGTCAGACAGGGAGAGCATGAAGTATGAAGTAGTCACCCCAAAAGGCTGGGACAAAAGTGAGCTGTGTTGTTCGTCTGGCAGAAGTTCCCTTTTAAATTCTGGGGTAGCATGAGATTATGCAGAAAACACTTAAGACGGTCCAAAAGTTAACTGAGGCTTTAGAGGGAATTCAAGATTTAAGCCAGACATGGGGACTGTTTTGTGCTAGACCTTGAGAGCTTCTAACAGCACCTGGTCTTACAAACTTAACTCCTCTCAAACACCCCAAGGTTGTCCTAATTGAATATGGTCTTCTGGGGCTAAATGGATAGAGCACAGTTAGTCCTGCTTCTCATGTCACTGTCAGAACAAGGTTTAATAATTAAACAGCCCTATTCACTTATCACGGAGTTCATTATTTTGGGTTCACTGCCAGGTGAAAACTGCTTTTACATACTTAGAAAGGGAAAACTGTAGAAAACCAGATGAATATGGCCCTACATAATGCTTGCTTCTGCCCTCCCAATAAAGTGGATGGAAGCCATGATCTGGTCTATTATCATAGGAAACATTGCTCTCAGAATAGCCACATGCTACAGAGAGATGAAGATTTTGATCTAACAAATCTGATGATAATAATAAAAGTAATAAAAATAACAGCCTTTTATTGAGTACCTATACTCAATAAATATATACTCCTGGTCACTCTATTAGGCTCTTTATACACTTACCTGATCTTCATAACAACTTGTGTTAGTTGAGTATTATTATCCCTCATTTTGCTGAGGCCCAGAGGGGTTAATTAACTTGTCCAAGGTCATTCAGGTGATCTGTGGCAGAAAAGATTTGAACACAAATTGATCTGACTCTAAATCTTCTTCTCTTAACAAACACTATGATGTATGCTTCTCTCTGCAAATGCCACTTAGCAGAAGAGCCACATGACAAATTTATACCCTGTAGAGTTGAGACTAATGTGATATTCTAATATTGAAAGTATTACAAAGTCCTCTAATTAGTCATAGTCTAGATATTTGTTTCAACAAATCCTTGGAAGTCAGCATGTATTCCCTAATGAACCTAGATAATTAGAAATGGACTGTACAAGGTGGATTACTAAGCAATTACATAACTTTTGGACTAAGGTATCATTATAGTGGTGATTCTGCCAATGGAACAAACCACAGTAATCTTTGCCTATTTTTAAATGTTCATGGGATAATAATTCATGTTTGCAAAATTCAAATAATTGACCAATACAATTTCCACCTGATGTTGTTAGAAAGAAGAGACTGGATTAAATGGATGACTGATACCATGTTATTGTAGTGACTTCATAGGTCAGCCCAAGACTCTGAAGATGAGTGGATTTTTAATGATGCATTCACAGGGACTGATATCCCTCCTTGCCTCATTTAAGGAGAGAGGGACTAAGCTCTTAGTTTAGGGACTGATATCCCTCATCATTCAGGGACTGATATCCTTCCTTGCCTCATTTAAGGAGAAAGGACTAAGCTCTTAAAGTTTAAAGATATTAAAGAGGGGCGCCTGGGTGGCTCAGTTGGTTAAGCTTCTGCCTTTGGCTTAGGTCATGATCCTGGGGTCCTGGGATTGAGCCCCACATTGGGCTCTCTGCTCGCTGGAGAGCCTGTTTCTCTATCTCCTTCTGCCTGCCCCTTCCTCTTCTTGTGCATGCTCTCTCTCCCCCTGTCAAATAAATGGGTAAAATTTTTTTTAAAAAATAAAGATGTTAAAGTAAACTCATAGTTCCTTTCTCTATATCCTCTAAAAATAGTACTGAACAGTCCCATGAACAATTATCTAGTCATAGTATCAAAATGAAAGTCATGTTACAGATATCCTCAAAACACTGAACATCAGAAAATATACATACTGGGACACTGGGACCAAACAATCACTGATTCTCCACAGTTTGAACATAATAACCACATTCAGCAGATGTCATAGATCCTACCCATATTTCTACTGATTCGGGCAATCTGCATGTAGACACAAAAATGAT